ATATTTAGATTTTTTTTGCACCCTCAGATTCCAGATTTTCAAATAGTTGTATCTCGGCGAAATATTGTCCGATCCTAACAAACCACATCAATGAAAAGCTTATTTATTCAGCTTTCAGATTATGTATAAATTATGACTGGTTTTGTGGTCCAGAGTCACATATTTACTGACAAATATACTCATCATGACATAACGCATAGGATGTGAAATATGAAAAGAAGACCTATTTTTCACGTAGTTTTTACAGGTTTATATGGTTTATGAGGACACAAATGTGTATGACATTGGTATTACAAAGTGAACTTTTTTTAGGAGGACGCTTCCTGTGTCTTCCTAAACCAAATGGCTTTAAAAACATACTAAACGGTATTTATTCAATATTTAGATTTTTTTTGCACCCTCAGATTCCAGATTTTCAAATAGTTGTATCTCGGCGAAATATTGTCCGATCCTAACAAACCACATCAATGAAAAGCTTATTTATTCAGCTTTCAGATTATGTATAAATTATGACTGGTTTTGTGGTCCAGAGTCACATATTTACTGACAAATATACTCATCATGACATAACGCATAGGATGTGAAATATGAAAAGAAGACCTATTTTTCACGTAGTTTTTACAGGTTTATATGGTTTATGAGGACACAAATGTGTATGACATTGGTATTACAAAGTGAACTTTTTTTAGGAGGACGCTTCCTGTGTCTTCCTAAACCAAATGGCTTTAAAAACATACTAAACGGTATTTATTTATTATTATTATTATTATTATTATTATAGTTAATAGTTAATATAATAGTTAATAGTAATATAATAGTTTTCTGTGACAGGGTAAGGGGATATAAAATGCAGTTTGTACAGTATAAAAACCATTACGCCTATGGAGAGTCCCTGTAAACCACATATACCAATATGAGTGTGTGTGTGTGTACCTACTTAACCATATTTTGGTGACAAATTTGTACCCAAAAGTGAGCAAAATCTGACAAAATCACCAAAACCCTCCATTTGGGGACGTCCTCATTTGTAAAACAGTGTTTTTTTGTAAAAATGAGTTTTTTTACACTTTGTCAAACAAATTTTTTTTTTTAAATTGTAAAAATGCAGAAAGTTTTCTGTGAGGGGTAGGGTTAGGGGTAGGGGTGGGTTTAGGTTAAAAAGTGTATAACTATCTGTATATAAAAACAATAGAAGTCTATGTAATGTCCCCATTTAGACAGCTAAGTAAACGTGTGTGTGTGTGTGTGTCTGTGTGATACATGTCTTGTTTTTATGTTTCATATATAGTTAAGTACAATTAATGTCCACTGTCCCTCAGTACACTATGGGTCAAACGTTAGGAATAATTAAGATTTTTTCATGTTGTTGAATAAAGTTTCCTTTGCTCATCAAGGCATTTATTTGTTTTAAATACAGTAAAAAAAAAAAAAAATTTAAAAACTCAAACATTTTCACATTACCTTCTTTCTTCTGTGGAAAAGTTATTTTGAAGAAGGGTGATTATTTTAAGGGTTATTATTCTAAAGCAATGTAACTTACATTCAGCAAGGATGCATTAAATTGATTTTAAAAAATGACAGTTACAGACATTTATAATGATACAAAAATTCAAATCAATGCTGTTTCAGCATTAACTTATGTTTCAAATAAATGCTGTTCTTCTGAACTTTCTGTTCATCAAAGAATCCTGAAAAAAAAAAAATGTATCATGGTTTCCACAAAAATATTAAGCAACACAACTGTTTTCAACACTGATAATAAGAAGAAATGTTTATTTGGCATCAAATCAGCATATTAGAATAATTTCTGAAGGATCATGTGACACTGAAGACTGGAGTAATGATGCTGACATTCAGCTTTGTCATCAGAGGAATGAATTGCATTTTAAAACATATAGGCTATATAAAAAAAAGTTACTTTAAATTGGAATAATACTTCACAATATTACTGTTTTTACTGTATTTTTAATCAAATACATGCAGCCTTGGTGACCATAAGTGACTTCATTAAAAAATCTATACATGGTCAATGGTTTTAGGATAATGTAGGATAATGTTATAAAATCTGACAAATTAAAGTGAAAGAATTATGAAAATATGAAAATACAAAGAATGTTGAAAAATGAATAGTGATCTATTTTTAAAGATTAAGTTTAAAGAGGAGTGACTTCATGAAATTTAATTACAGTCACCTCAATCGATTATTGCAACAGTTGATCTTCTGAATAATAATTCAGAGCAATTCTGAACAATAGTTTAGAAATTATTTTTAAACAAATGTTATGATGGCTTGCATGTATGGGCTATTTGTGAGCAGCACTATTACTTTTGAAGTTAATGGCAGTGACACAAGACAAGTCATCACGCCTGTGCTCCACATGATATGAACACTAGAGGGCGCAGTCGAATTATTATGCCGATGGCACCGAGATGCGTCTGTAATGCTGCAGATAAACATCATTTGCTCTCCCTTTCATGTGGGAGATAAAACATAATTATGCTTAATGAATAATTCGTTTAAAACATCTAGATCTAATGAAAATTTTTTTTTTAAACGACTAAACCATTGCGATTTAATCATATAGGCTAGCCTAAGGAACAACAAAACAGTTCTTATTTTCTCTCCATCTGAGCATCAGCTGGTGAGAGCATCTAATGAATTCATTTGAATTGAAGTAATACAATAAATTTACATTTAATTTAAACAAAGTCACATTCTGATGGGGGGGGGGGGGGGGGGATTTCACCCTGAAATGATAGCTAACATCTCTTGTCCTCCTTTGAAACTGTAGTCACATTTCAAAGGTTTTATTATTCATACAAACAAAACATGTATGCTGAAAGTCCCTTACTATCAGTTGTTTCGGATAGTTTTCACACCAGGTGGGTGGGCAAAGTAAGTGTACATAACTTACATAAAAACAGATATAGCCTGTACCATGTGGGCTATTCACTATATATTTGTCAGCAATAAAACAAGTTATATTAAAACAAAATAAATGAATCAGTCATAATTAGAGTATTTTCTTGATTTGCTAGTGGCGTGCACTGTAAAATGTTATTGTCAAATTAACAGTAACTTATACTGGCAACAATTATCCAGTAGTTGCAGTATTTTGTACCACAGTAAAAATTACTGTAAAGTACAGTAGTTTTAAGAGTACTGTAAGCTTTACTGGGAAAGTGAACAAGTTACATTAAAATAATATGTACAAGACCATGAAAAAAAGTGCATGTGTTTTAACATATAGGCCTACCTACCAATTTAACACTCTCCCCTCTGGTCTGCAGGGACGCTGTGGGAAGAAAAGGCCAGTTAACATAGCTTGACTCTGAAACTTATCTTGCAAATAACATCAGAATAAAAGTGATTCAAAAGTTGAAAATGTAACCTAAAGTTAAGAAGTTTACCTACCATAGCCTATACTCTCTTATTGGCTTATTGGTCTGTCACAGATCCGTTAAAGGCCTCTGTGTGGAAAATGAATGACGGTAATAATAAGTATTGATTTTCATGCTGATTGGACATCATGATTGGACTCTTATATAAACACATATGAGGAAATGTGAACTATATGGGAGTATGGTATAAGCTTACATTTTACAGCTGTCTAAATTGAACTCTAGAGTTAAGGTTTTAACCCTTAAAATGGTGATTGTATGATAAACTGTTCCTCAAGATAAACCTAGAAGACTCCAAAGGACTGTATGAGAATATACTGTCCTCACAGCACAGTGATCACTAAAAACAAATGAATGTCATGTAATCCTTCAGGATGAATCGGAGCACATGGCCACCTGACAGTACATCTGGGTCATTTCATGGGTGGGTGTTGTAAAGTACAGTAGATGGTTGTTGTTTCAGGATTTATTCCGTATTCATTTCAGGAGAAGGAGGCTATTTGATCCAAATTACTGTGGTTTGAATATAGCCCTGTCTAAAGTTCAACATATTTGATTTCAACAGCCTAATAAGTGAAAGATTCTTCAAAAGCAACAATAGTCCCTCCCCTAATAAATCATTTGATTAGCATCCCAACAAATTCAATATTGTTTATGACTCATAATTAGAGTATTTTTACCAGCCTGCAGAATGTAAGCAATGATACACTACTGGTCAAAAGTTCGGGGTCAGTAAGATTTTGTTTGTTTTTCTGAAATAAATTAATACTTTTATTCAGCAAGGACACATTTAATTGATCAAAAGTTTGCAGTAAAGATATTTATCATGTTAAAACTGATTTCTATTTTAAATCAATGTTATTCTTTTCCAAAAAAGGAATCATTTTTCAAAATCATTCAATCATTCAAAAAAATGTATGTAAAATGTAGTAAATGTATGTATACAGATCATACACGCTATATGTAGCTGACTGTTTGCCTGCTTTAAAGGTCCACTGAAATGCCCTTAAGACTAACATATTGATACTAACACCCAAAAAACTTTAATTTTGATTTCATGGGGACTTTAAAAAAGTAGTTATTACTGCACATTAACATGTTACTATAAACTGATTAAATCAGAGTGTTAGATATGGCAGCAATTATCTGCTATTATGTATTAGCTTTACTATTTAATGCCAAAAAATGGGCAGTTTGTGATTGTATCTTCATCTAGTTTCTGGTTGAGATAAGTGTGAGGAACCGGGAGGCCACAGTGACAATAGCAGCACACTCACTATCAAGCCTGATGGACTGACAGAGAAAATAGGCCCTTTAGTCACTTCAGCCGCCGATGAAAACATAATTTCTACCTTCAGTCCCACACTGAGCTCAGACATTATTGAGCGATGACAGAGGCAGATCAAGCTATGAGGAGACGAGTGGGAAATCGTAAAAGCTGCTCATGTTTCTGGCTCCATAAAAAAGATTTGTTCAGCGCATTGAGATTGTGATGGATTTTCCCATGTTGTCCAGGACAGCTCTTTTTGTTTAAGGCTTCTGATAATGGCTCATTGTTTTGGCCGTGGTAGAGGCCCGTGGTGCATCTCCCTGTGGAGATGCCAGGCTGCCCATTCACTCACCGGCAGCAGGCCGAAACGCATGGAGCGCAGCTCACCTGCATCAGGGGACTGAGGTAAGAGAGGGATCTCAACACGTTACACTATGATTGTGTTGTCATGTTGTTAAAATAAAAAATATTACTGTTATGCCAGTCATTGTTTGAATTTTGAGTGATTTTTTTGTTTGTTTTCATTTTTGTTCTCCTTCCTTTCCAGGTGTTGAAATGGAGTGGATATGTGTTCCCCTTCTGCTTTTCAGTGGGATTCATTTAGGTTTTACACAGTTCAATGGATTCAACTGTGATCCAAACTACCACAGCAGATTCCCTGGTAAGAAGAGCCAAATAAACAATAATACATTACAGTTCAAAAGTTGGTAAGATTTGTGTTTGTTTGATTTGTGACAGTAAAGACACTCAAAATGTTAAACAGATTTCTATTTCAAATAAAATGCTGTTCTTTTGCAAAAAGAAAAATTTAATTATTTGCAATTTTTTTATCATGTTTCCACAAAATTGTAAGCATTGATAATAATAATAATAATAATAATAAATGTTTCTTGAGCAGCAAATCAGCATATTAGAATGATTTCTGAAGGATCATGTGACACTGAAGATTGAAATAAGGGTTGCTGAAAATTCAGCTTTGCCATCACAGGAATAAATTGCACTTTAAAAATAGAATAAAAATAATGAAGTTATTTTAAATTGTAATAATATTTCATGATATTACCGACTATTTATTATTATTATTATTATTATTATTATTATTAACGTGACTGTATTTTTAATTTATTATTATTATTTATTTTATTATAAATAAAAATGCTACCAACCACAAAATTGTGAACAGTAGTGTAAATAAATCTATTTAGATAATTAATAATTTACAATTAGTCATTTTTTTCAGATTTATAAATGCTTGTTTTTCTATGTAAATGTAGCTCTAATTCCCTATATTAGAGAAAATTATTATATATAGTGCATGGGGTCCAAAAGTTTAAGTGTGAAAATCTAGAATTTACCATTTCATTTAAACTGCAAAGTAACTGAAAATTTTAGGTTTTGAAAAAACGTATAGCAAAGAAATATTATGATGTAAATGAGCAAGCAGTATTTTCAGCTCCAAAAGATCAGATGTTCTTGCTTGTGGAGTTCATGGAGCTCGAGTTCTGCTGTCGGTAAAGCAAAAGGAGGACAAACCAAGTACTAAAACATTTTGAAATTCATAGTAATATTTTTATTCATAGTAATACTTTGCACTTACATTATCACACTGATAATATCATATGTAATGAAAAGTGTGTAAAAATGCTAAATTGAAGCAGTTCCTCTATTTGACTCCACTGTATTTTATTGTAAGCCCATGTTTAGTAAAGAATGCTGTCTACATTGTGACACATATTATGAGGTTTTCATTTACTTGTATTGTTTTTTTTTCCTCAAGGTGAGAGAGATATCAGTGTATACTGTGGCGTTCAGACAATCACACTAAAGATTAACCTCTGTCCTGTGCTGTACTCTGGATACACTGATGCTGACTTGGCACTGAACGGTCGTCATGGAGATGTGCAATGCCGAGGCTTCATAAACAACAACACCTTCCCCACAGCTGTGCTCTTCAGTATCAGCCTCAGCACACTGGAGTCCTGTGGAAACACGCTGGAGGTGAGAGATACATTCACTTACACACAAGTGCTATGGTTTTCTTATTGTTTTTGGACATGTATTATGGGATTACCATGGTGTATGAATATGATAATCATACAGTACCATTGAACCGTATATCTGAACTAGCACCAGCTTCACTTTTTGCCCAAGCTGTTTGTGTTAAAGGAATAAAATTTGCTGAAAATTTACTTCCAGGCCATTCAGACTGTAGATGAGTTTGTTTTTTCATTGGAACAGATTTAGAGAAATGTAGCATTGCATCACTTGCTCACCAATGGATGCTCTGCAGTGAATGGGTGCCGTCAGGGGAGTCCAAACAGCTGATAAAAACATCACAATAATCCACAAGTAACCCACACATCTCCAATCCATCAATTAACATCTTGTGAAGCGAAAAGCTGCGTGTTTGTAAGAAACAAGTCCATCATTAAGACATTTTTAACTTTAAACCATTGCTTCTGGTTAAAATACCAATCCATAATTTATAATAATGCTTCTCCCAGTGAAACAGTCCATTCCCTGTTGTCCTCTCAAATCAAAATCTACAGACATATGTTTGAGGATTTGTGTGATGTTTTTATCAGCTGTTTGGACAAATCTGTTGCGATGAGCAAACAAACTCATCTACATTATGGATGGCCTGAGGGTGAGTAAATTTAAATTTTTGGGTGAACTGTTCCTTTAATAGTGTATTACGTAACATAACTGATATGTGATTTTAAAGAACAAATTTGATTATATGAGCTTAAAAAAAAAATTTTTTTTCTCTCTCTAATCAGGTTTCTACATCTCAAAGCTTTAATGCCTATGGGAACACCTCCATGGTACAGATGGGTAATATATCGGGCTACATTGACACCCCAGACCCTCCAACTGTTATCAGCTACCTGCCAGGTCTGGTGTATAAATTCAGCTGTAGTTATCCTCTGGAGTACCTGCTCAACAACAGCCAGCTGGCATCGTGAGTCTGTTTTCTGACGTAACAACCTACTTCTACAACTATTTTAGTCAAAGAACTGTGCTGCATTTATCAAAACAATCAATGCTTTGCTGATATGTTCAGCTGTGAATAAACAGCCATAATGTCTTGTTTTAATCCCAACCTCCTTTACCAGCTCGTCTGCTGCAATATCAGTGAAAGACAATAATGGCACTTTCCTGAGCACTCTCAGTTTGGTGCTTTACAATGTGAGTGATCTCTGTAGTTCATAAAATAAAATGCAATTAAAATACAAATTTATAAAAAAAAAAAAATGAAATAAGTTCATGAATTAACTTAGAATTACAAATTAAATTTGACTTATTGACTTATTTTAATTATAAATGATTTCTCCTTAGGATCTATTATCAATTTCATATTGTTTATGTGTACAGTTCTCAAACTTGTATTAAAATGTAAAAACGGCATGTTGCAATGAAGACTGGCACCATTTCAGTAGCTAATTTTCTTTGTCTCATATTTGACAGGACTCAACCTTCAGTCAGCTGATCTCTATACCAATGTCCGGCCTGTCCTTGAAGACTCGTGTGTTTGCTGCAGTCAAGGCTACAAATCTGGACAGGAGGTATATCGTACAGAGAAATGTATGCTTTTATATCTTATAAACTCATTATTGAAACACTTCATTCATTTTTCTGTAAAAGTATTTTACATCATAATGTTTTAGCTATCTTTTGTGAAGGCAGATTACTAGTATAAACTGTGACAAATTACTAGTATAAATAATATAAATTATGAGAAATATTCCTCTACTTGGGTAAATACTTAGATCTTGAGCCCCTATTAACTACTTTTTTTTTTTTTTTTACTTGCGATTAGAGATCTGATTCCCATTAATAGCAGAAATGACTGTGTTTTCCCCACAGGTGGAATGTTCTGATGGATCACTGTTACGCCACCCCCTCTGGGAACCCTAATGATGGGATACGCTATGACCTTTTCTTTGGGTAATTTAGTATTTTCTGAAATTATGTGCGCATTAACTCGGTGAGTCCTCATTACCTGCTCAACTATACAATGCACAAAGGCCTTTTAGAAGAAATCATTTGTGTGTGCGAGTGTGTGCGTGCACGGTTGCATTCGAGTTTGTGTGTGAGTGAAGATAATCAATTTATCTGTAGATTTCAGCAGATTTAAAGAGGCTTTACTTTTGTGGGGGTTTAAATAGGTGCTACAAGGATCCACAGACAACTGTATTTGAGAACGCAAAAAGTCAAATGGGCCGCTTTGCGTTTGAAGTTTTCCGTTTTGTGAAACATAAGAACCAGAAGATGTCCACCGTGTTTCTGCACTGTATCACAAAGCTGTGTCGAATAGATGACTGCGCAATACTAATTCCGGTAAAACGTCATGATGCTGAAATATTTTATGGTTATTAATATATTTTGCATGTACTAACTGAACGAGAGCGCTGACTGTAATATCTCTCATGGCAGATCTGTGGAAAACGCAGGAGGAGAGACACTGCGGATGAACATGTCGTATCAGGTTCATCCTCAGGGGATGCCGTCATAACCGCAGGGCCCATAATCACTAGGAGTGGTGAGAGCCATCCTCAGCTTTATAGTCCATTAAATGCACTGAAAAAAATGACTAATTTCCTTCAAAAGTTGTTGCACAGTTGTTGTTTTGTTTTGTTTTTAATAATGGTACAAAAGTAAATGATCCTTCAGTAATCATTCTAATATGCTGATTTGCTGCTGAAGAAACATTTCTTCTTATCAATGTTGAAAACAGTTGTGCTGCTTAATATTTTTGTGGAAACCATGATACAATAGAAAGTTCAAAAGAACAGCATTTATTTGAAACAGAAATCTTTATAAGATCAATTTAATGCATCCTTGGTGAATAAAATTATTAATTTCTTTAAAAAAATCTTACTAATATTTTTAAAAGTGTGTATACTGTATATATAAATACAGATGTTAAATAGTCGTATTTTAAACAACCATACGATCCATATTTTAATTTCTGTGAGACAACGTCACCCTGTAATATATAATATGTTTTTAATATATATTTTAAGAAACGAGTTGTAGTCGATCTCACAGACCTCAACATTTGGTACACATAGCATGATAATGATAACAATCAATGGATAGTTTTTTCTAAACATGACAACAAAATCAATAACAACATGGTGCAAAAGCAAACAGTAAAACAAGGCAAACTTATGAATTATTCATGCCCCAGAGTATGCTGGGAACAGCAGCATTGTAATGTTAAGGATATTTTATGTATTTGTTATACCTTTGAAAGTGACTTTTATTTTTAAGATATTTGATCTTTTGGACATTTGTACATACGTTTGAATTGAGTACAAATGTAGAATTTGCTTAATGTTTTCAATTTAATGCTTGAGATGTAATTGTTGTAGTTCAATCTAGAAAGTATTAAATCATGAAACCATTTACGATGTATTTACCACAAAAACTTCTAAAAACATATACATCTTGCTTGTTTTCTGCAGATGAATCTCCAACCAACAACTCACAACGTGGTAAGATTAAGTAGCCTGCTAAATGTTTTTCATTAGTAGACCCCCCAAATGCCCCAACCCCACCCCGCTGTGTCCTTTCTGTGAGACATCAGCTCTGTTTTCACAGTGAAACAATGGACACCAGTGTCAAGTTCTGCAAATTAGATCCATGACAACTGTGGTACCCATTTACAGAACTATCTTGTCTGATTTTGACCTCATCCCACCCAACCCCATTCACCACCACAATCCTCTGCTGACCCTCACTCACCCCTCTCTGTGCCCCTGCAGTGAGCGGATCCTCCCAGCATCTGAATGCTGTAACCAGTGCCTTGATATCGGGTGTGGTTGTGTTAGGTGTGACGTGCCTGGGCCTCTTCATCCTCTCCCTCAGGCTGCTCAGGAAGCCCAGCCCTTCTAGTCTGACAGGGGTCTGGAACCCCAGCTTCAGATGACCATGACGTCCAAATCCAGAGTGCACTGAAATACGTCACAATATTTGTTCACTGCTCTCGCATGTCACAACATTGGCATTGGGCGGCTTTGTCAAACAAGTTTTCCCATTTGAACTTATATGAATCTAATAGTCCCTTTAAAAATACCTCAGTTTGTTACTATCCGTTTCAGGGTCTGTGATCCTTTATGTCTTGAAGTGCAGAGCACAAAACAAATGTAGATTGTTCACATATAGATTGCAGATTATTTGCTTGATGAATTATTGTTGATCTTTTAAACTGTGTGTATGTATATGTGCAATGAGTAGAATAAGCGATGAATAAACAAAAGAAAAATGAAACCAAGGTCTTCCAAATTAAATATTAGTTGACAGCAACAGATTAGATTGGAATACCACAGAAAATACCGCCCAATTATCATTGATTTGTAATATATTTTTGTTTAGTTTTACAAATGTAGGGGCAAATCACAATTATTTTCAATGGTAATAAACAGCATGCCACAGACGCTGTTAACCTGGACAATTTGTTTTTAATTTGCATGATAGTTTTAAATATAAATAAAACATAAAATATTTTAAGATGTACATATGTAGTGTTATTAAATTGATGTGCCATTATAACTTTTTTTTTTTATTAAAATTGTAAATATGTGCAACCTGATGTTTTTCCCAAACAGATTTGTCAGCTGCACATAATGGACATTTTTAATATGTTTTATTATAAAAATTAATCCAAATCAATGTCTCAATTCACTACTTTTTGTTCATTTGTCTGCGTTTGTATCAGTTTTATAGATAATTTTCAACATATACCATACTTAAAATCACACTCTAACAATCTTTTTTATTCAGCCACAAGAAATGACATTGAAAATACAACACAGACACAAACCACCCATTTAAATCTCACACACCACTGTAGATCTCCACAATCTGCATCCTTTCTCTACATAATCCCAGATTACTGCAGGGCCTGCAGCGAGTCAAAAACTAGAAAAATCTGATGCAGTGCTTGTTTATCTCCCTCTCATTTCTTATGTTCGCTGAGGTCTTTGATCTTATGCATGTGTAAAGTCCACAGTGTTGTTTTGCTAAGATATTTAACTGAATACGTCATGGCTGGCATCATATTATGATGAGTTCTGTAATATTTCCATGGTTTTATGTTTTTGACAATAGAAGAAGGCCAACACCCAACACCCTGATTTGACCCTAATTAGAAAGTGTTGTCCTTCCCAGGTAGCTCAGCTGACAGGTTCATATTACAATTCCATTGGTATTTTCTGTGAATTTGTACCTCATTTTCACAGATTTCACCTCATTAGCTGTTGATATGCTGTAAGAAGCACAGGAAGAATTCAAAACTCTAGTATTTTTATGGAAACTATTCGAAAATCTTCAAAATTACTAAATTGTGGCTTACTCTCAAATGGATAGTTGACCCAAAAATGAACAATTTGCCATCATTTACTTACCCTCATGTCATTCCAAACTTGAATGACTTACTTTCTTCTTTGAAACAGTCTAACGTTTCAACTGTTTTTGAACATATAATGAAAGTCAGTGAAGTCCAGTGTTGTTTTGGATGCCATTGCCTTTCAAAATATGGACAAAAAACACTGAGACATTTTTCAAAATATCTTCTTTTGTGTCCTACAATGAATCCCTTCAGCATATCCATTTGACAATCATTATCATGTGAGATTTTATGCAGTGACCATCAAGATTTTAAGGTAGCGAACCTCCTAAAAGGCATCCAAGGTCAGAGGTCAGACTGACAGACTTGTACTTTTAGGTCCATAGAGAAGACGGGACCTCCCACATATTGTGTACTTCTTCAATAGAGTTTATACTTAGTTTATTAAATTACATGTTAATATGTTTCAGGATGTATAAAATGACAAAGACAGTGGTCATTGTTTATGGTCTAACTTTAAAGGTGATGTGTAAGGTTTCAAGGTTTGCCTCAAGGTAATGGTACCTTATCCACAAAAGTGAATTGTTCTTGAGAACTCAAGCAACCATACCAAATGGCAAATGACCTTGTTTTGGTCCAATCCTGCAGTAGTACTCTAACTAACTTCTCCTATACACATACATATATAAATAAGAGACTGAAGCCTGTCAGAGTTAATCCAACAGTGACTTTGAGGAGATAAAGGATCTTTAACAGCAAGGATACCTTCAGAAGCTCTTCGAGATTTTCTATAGGGTGCTGCGAGTCGTTTAATGGTCATTTTTGGACATTGATGAAGAGCAGATAACTGACATGGTTCTACTCAGTCTCTTGATTTTGGGTGTGCTGGTTAATGGCCACCTGGCTCTTACTCCTAATGACTGTGGGACTTCCTACAGGCGTCCAGGTAGGCCTATTGTCACGCATGATTTTGTCGACAATAATTATTGTAACTGCTTTTAAAACCAAAACAATTAATCCGTTTTATAGGAAAGACATCAGGGATCTTGTTTTTGTCTTACAGCGTACACCGACATCGCAGTGTATTGCGGGACCGAGTCTATCAATTTGGCCATCCAGGTCTGCCCGGTCATTTACACTGGATATAACGCGAGTTTGTTGATTCTCAATCAAGTCGCAAATGATCCGTCGTGTCGGGGAACACTGGATGAGACCGCGAATCCTCCGGTCGTGCGCTTCAACTTCCTGCTGAGACAATTAGACTCCTGCGGCAGCATCTTCCGCGTGAGTACTAGCCTACTGCATCTTCTAAACTATATTTACACTGATGAAGTATTCTCTAGGCTACTTAAAAACACCTTAAGCAAACTGATCTCGCTTTCTGGCGAGTTGAAATGTGCCCAAAGCCAGCAAACTAGCGAGGTTACCAACAAGGGTCAGTGTTACTCATACATGCACACTGACATCAACGTGTCAATATAGATAAAGAGAATTAGTTCTCTCCATTTTCTCTGTATTTTGATATCTCTCTCTGCAAGTCTGATTCATTTCATTGTCTTCATTTGTAGACCACCAGCGCTCCAGGGACCGGGATCTTCTCGGACTTCTCTAACATCCAGACGGTTAACATCAGTGGGGTGGTCAGATCTTTCGACCCCACAATAGGAACAGTGACCTACAACGCCGAGCTGAGTTATTTTTACTCCTGTGCATATCCACTCGAGTACCTGATCAACAATACACAAGTTGATGTGTAAGCTCCTTTAACTCTCTTAATAAAGTAATTCTGCTGAAATAATAACAATAAAAAGATCTTAAACCAGCCTAAGCTGGTCTTAGCTAGTCTCCCTGTTTAGTCAGAGTTTTAGTGAACTTTGGGACTGGCCCATGTCCTGGCTTACTGTTTTCAATCAACGAGGATGCATTAAATTGGTCAAAAGTGAGTGTAAAGACATTTAAACTGTTATAAAAGATTTCTATTTCAAATAAATGCCTTTCTTTTAAACTTTGTAGTCATCAAAGAATCCTTAATGAAAAAATGTATCACGATTTCCATAAAAATATTAAACTGTTTAAACTGTTTTCATTGGTAATAATAAACGTTTCTTGAGCACCAAATCAGTGTATTAGAATGATTTCTGAAGGATCACGTGGCACTGAAGACTGGAGTAATGATGCTGAAAATTCAGCTTTGCCAACAAAGGAATAAATTACATTTTAAAATATATTAAATTAGAAAATGATCATTTTAAATTGCAATAATGTTTCAAAATGTCACTGTTTTACTGTATTTTTGATCGGATAGATGCAGCTTTGGTGAGCATAAGAGACTTTTAAAAAAATTAACAAAACAGTAGTTTGAACAGTAGTGTACAGTATTAAACATGCAGCTTGTTGACATTCTTAACTGAGTAGTGAATAATTATTTTCATGGGCTCTAGCTATACATCACTTGTAATCTCTAAACTTTACCTCCCTCTTCAGGTCATCCTCCTCCATTGCAGTGATTGACAACAATGGTAGCTTCATCAGCACTTTAAGCATGCAGCTCTTCAAAGTAAATACACAATGGGGGAAAACGTTTCCAAAATCTATAGCTTTTTCTATGCTATGTCATAGTGTGTCCATAACTTCATACTTTAATTGTGTCTCTAGGATGTAAACTACACAACTCCACTCGTTATCCCTGCTCTTGGTGTTGAGCTCAGAACCAGAATCTACGTGCAAGTCATTGCAGCAAACTTGACTTCACAGTGAGGAACATTTGCTGATGTTTCTTCTAAGATATGCCTCCATTAGTTAATGTAGAAATTGACTGATTCTGTCCTCCTCCTCCACAGGTATCATGTTCTGCTGGATCGTTGCTATGCCTCTATCTCAGCCTTACCCTCCAATTCAACCTTTTTCAACCTATTTGTCCCGTAAGTCTCAAAAAAGGGACGTTTTGAAATGTCAGGGAAATGTTATGTTAAAAATAACATTTATAGTATAATATAATAGATTTTATATTTTACTTATTTCTTATATATTATACTTATATATTTATATTAAATTCATATTTATAGTTATATTATATATATAATGCATTTAATAGAATACAAATATTAAGAATATATCAGAATAAGAAATGTTTTTGAGTCTCTACAAGATTATTTTTAAAAACGTATTTTATATATCCTATATTTATAATAAATATTAACAAAAAATAATTATTTTAAAGAATATTTCATCAATTTAAATTGTTGTCTTGGTCTCTATAAAATTATTTTAAATACTCATGAGCAAAGCTATGGAAATTAATTGGTTGTCTAATTTATTTTATATTTTATATATTCTGTATTCATGCAAAATGATATAAATACAAATAAAATTGAATTAAAATAAAACAAATAATTAATTTAAATAATATTTCATCAATTAGAAATGGTTGGTTTAGAGTCAGAAACAAAGCCACAAAGCCATGTAAATTCATTGGTCAACTAGTTCTGTACCATACTTGAAATGTTCTCTTTTTCTGAAAGGTGCTCGCAGGATCAGATGACCACCATGTTGGAGAATGGAAACAGTCAGAAGGCTCGCTT